GTGTGAGGCTGCTAGCGAGCTATATCCACCCTGAAGGTTAATCTTGGACAATATCTGTCGATTGGCTCTTTTAAATGAAACTAGAGCACGTTGCATGACCTGACTTGTTCACAGCTTTGTTAAAAAACATTAACAGCCTAATTATTGGTTGAAACTGACAAAATAAAAAAAGTAAAACAATGAAATGACAGTATGACGACTTAAAGGAGGACAGACAATCCTCCAGTGGTTTAGTCTCCTCTGACGGATTGGTTAAAATCTCTGGGTTTCAGTGGCAGAGAGCCCAGCCCAAAGCTCAGAGGTACACATTACATTCCTCTGAGGGGTCTCTCCCATGGCACAATTTATGGCCAACTTGGTCATTAGAGCCAASACACAGATGTCCCAGTGGCTTGGAAAATGAGCATCCATGCACAAACGCTCTCCTCTGGCACAAACTACTTGCTGCTCGATATCGGTGTGTGTGTTTGTCGGCATGGAAACAACTATGTTGAGTGTGGTATGATGAGTGGGTCTGTGGGTTTTAGTGGCTGCGGGCCAAAACTCCTGACTGATGTGTTTATTACACATCAACAGAGCCMAGGAAGAAGTCAGTGGTGGAGCGGTGAGGGATTATCTAAAATGAGTAAACCAATATTCCACCAACCTGCATGCGCCAGAACGGATTTCTGATGAACTTCATGTATTGAAGAAGCGCTCTCGCCTCTTTTCTCTCTGCAGCATATTGCTCATTTCAGCCACACACCGTGGTGCTGATTTCATGGCTATTGAGTTTCAGATAAAATTGAAAAATCTTCAGGACTAAGAGTTGGGGTTAGGGGAACAGTGTACAGCAGATTTCATAGATGATGGAGGGAACCAAAGTGGATTTTCTGCACCGTGCTCTTGCACTCTGGGGGTAACTGAAAAAGCCTCCACACCTTTGGCAACTACTGAGTCCAGATGGYAGGAATCTGGAGCGCTGGGCAAAAGGAGGGAAGCAATGGGGAACAGAGGATGAAAAAGGAAGAAAGAAAGTAAGAGGAGGGAGGCAGCATGAACAAAATAAGAGGCAAACTGAGCCCCGCTAAGAAAAACAAATCTGCCTCTGTCTCTCCCAGGAAGGACTGATTTATGACACACACAGGTGATTGTCCACTTCCCTTCCCAAAGGCGAGCGTGGACAAGAGAGGCTTTACAAGGAGACAGATGAAGGATGGGGGAAAAAGGAAACACGAACAAAATAAAGACAGAGAGGAGACAGAAAAATAAAGTGATGAAAAGGTAAGACGGCAGAGCGGCAGGAGATGGGGGAAAAACAGAATCAAAGAGGAGAGCAACCTGAGTGGCAAAGGATCAAAGTGACAAATACTCATCCTGTGACCCTGCAGCGCCTGGCTCTAATGGGAGGTCTGGGAGATTGAAACCTTGGCCAAAGTTCCTGCGGGTCACTCAGTGTGGCCAAACTCATTTGGCCCTGTCATAACAACCAACTAGAAGATGGACTTTTTGAGTTTGAGGCAAAAAAAAAGCAGTTGTATCCTTTAGTTGTCGTTAAAGCCACGTCTTATTAAATACATTGTTGTTGGCACTGTTTCTAAATATTTGAATATGTTTCAGAGATACTATAGATTTGGAAACAGTCTCATCAATGTGATCTTATACTCCTCCCTGCTTCAACTATAGAGGTAAATTTAAAGTCGAGGAGAGCAATGATGTAAATCTTTGAACTTTTAAATGTAAAGCAACATCCCTTTATAGCCTACTATTTTATGTTTTAAAGACATTTTATTATGCTTCAATTATTTATAGTTCTTACACTTTAATTTCTTTTTTTAAATCATTGCGTAGCTCTAAAGATGTGTTCTTAAAGGTCACCGTGAGATTTATCAATGAGAACCTAAACGTTGTGCGATAGTCACGAGAATTAGCCAGAATAAGAGCAAAGATACAGACAGATGACTCAAAAACACACAGACATGTACTGTGTGCTCTTAAACTGTGACACACATGAAGAAGACTGGACACATATTTTAAATAGTGATGGTTTTACACACATAATAAMTTATACAGATGTGCCTTAAAGACTAAATAAAACATGACGTTTTTTTTTTGTAAAACAGAGTTAGGCAAATTCTTCTGGATAGGCCTTTTGTAGGCTCACCTTTTATAAATMTATCCTGAAGTGTTGTAATGAAACTCAAAGTACAAGTATGTCATACAAATGGCAACTTTCTTCCATGTTGTGGGTAAGAACTGACAAAAAATATCTTTCCCCTCCATTTTCCATCAACTGTGAAACTCAGAAGCTCAGTTTGAGAAAAGACCATTTCCTGGTTAAAATCTGTTAMAAATGCACATTTGTTGAAGTGGGCCTAGCTCATATGCTTATCAGGAAAACACTGAGGTTAATATGGAAAGGTCATTAAAACTGAACAAATTGAACCAATAAATTTGCATCGTTCTACAGACACAATGTATTTGTTTGAACATTTCCTTTAGGATCATAGATGAGATTTTTCATAAATATGTGCAATATAGATCTGCTTTTTGAGCTTGCTGAATTTGCACAATTCCATTGGTGTTTTCATAGAAGCCTCAGTGTTTTACTGGTTGACCTGTGAAGAGTTTACTCGCAACTGCAAAACAGTCTATTCTGGTTTTAAGGTAAATGGAAACAYTTTAATCAGAAATAGGTCAACCTATGACATATTTTGTTAACACACAGAAAAACAAGTGTATTCACACAATCTCACACACACTAGGTAAATATATATTTATTAGGGGCACAACAATACATGTATCTGTATGGAACAGTTCAATACAGCGCTTTAGGTTCAATACACACTACAGATTTTTGAGTTATTTTATCAACTTGTCTTCAGAAGATGTGTTATGTTGAAGGCTCAGTGGATCTGTGTTCGACTACTCCACCTAGGCTGCATTGTCGAGCCCAGATCCACTGAGAAACTTGCTGTATCACCAACATTTATTAAAAACTGCACTTTTGAGGGTAAACAAAAGTTCAAAATTAATTTCAATAAATTACAAGTTAAGAAGGGCAAGGAAAAATCTATTTTTTGTACTGAAAATATATCAAACCGTGACACTAAACTATCAAACCGAATTGTGAATTTTCTATATTGTTGCACCTCTAATATTCATCCTCTTTTTTAAGGCAGCAGGTGTTTATAACTTATTTCAGAATGAATTAAAGAGCAGTAACAATAAGTTTCAGAGTAATATAAAGCTTCCTGAAATGAAAGAGTTGACTTGGACAGGACTTAAACAGTTTAAAAGTCATAAAACAAGACTGCTTACCTGTAACCTGGAACGTGCATTTGCCCGCTCCGGCCTCATTGATGACGTTACACGTGTACTCTCCCCAGCCTTCTCGATTCAGATTGCGGATGGTGTACTCCGTCTCATCCTTCTGGGGGTCAAATGCTCCAGCGTGGAGGAGGCGGTTTGAGAGCAGCCACTCRAACCTCAACACACGGGAGGGGTGGGCTCGCAGCACCCTGCAGGTCATCACTACAGGCCTTCCCAGGCCTTGACGGACCTCCATATGTACCGGCTCCACTGTTGGAGGATCTGAGTAGGAAATGGAGAGACTCAGATGAGCTTGTTTGCTACACTTTTTAATTCCCCTTCAAATGTCAAACATTTACGAGCATGGGAAAAAGCAAAATATGTAAATAAAACTGAATGGTAATAAATAAAGGGAAACAAAAAGGTAAAAGAAAAAAGAAACATGAGGTTGATTTTTTAAGTGAAGTCCTCTAGGACAAACACATTGTTTTAAATTATTTCCAGGGGAAAGCTTCAAAGAATAAAAATAAAGTATCTAAACAAAAATCAACAACTCTTGTTCCTCTTTAGAATAACCAAAACACTTTAAAAGACAGTCAAATCCTGAAATGTGTGAAAGAGCAGAAACAAATAGCACAGTGTAAATAAACTTTCAATCATTTGCACTGGAAATCGATACATTATAGAAACAGATGAAGAATGAGAAACAATTGCGGGAAGATGGGCAACGTCTGTGGGAAAATCAATTTGCAGAAAAACCGAGAACAATGTTCTGAATGAAAATCAGTCCCGCTCCGCAGAACATTGGTAACAGGATGATGAAGTGCACCGCCAGATTTCAAAATGGAAAATTAATAACTTGTTTTGAATGTGTGACAACCCTCCCCTTTTTCCTGCACTGACAACCTGGTGGAGAATTTATTCAACAACTTTAATGACCTTGATGACAAACAAGCTCTGTCTGTAAAAAGTTGAATTTGCCTGCTGTTCGTATTTTGGCACAAACTTCAGTGTTTGCCAAAGCATCTGCATGATTATATGTTTAGGTTTAAATGTGTGTACAAGCTGTTAAGATATAAATAATTTCATTCAAGCACCTTGGCTATTGATGTGCTTGAGCAGATGCTTGACAAAAGCCAAGACAGCTTGAAAAACAAAAAATGTAGAGGAGATGTGAGAATGACACGGAGCCCCTTGATTGCTTAAGATTTACATAATTTCCGACAGAGTAAAAAAGAGGTGCGAGCTGCAGTCGGAGATGAGGCTGCTGCGCTGAATTTTTTTTTCTTGTCTACTGGAAAAATGTAATCTGTTACAGATCACTGATTACCTGATTGAAACTGCTATCTGCAACATAATCTTCTACATTATTCACATTCAGTAATATAATCTATTTATTGAGCATTCCAAACCTGATAGAATGTGCAATTATTTAAGCAATGCATTAYGATTTACAGCCTATAATTTGATATCATTATTAATGTTATCAACCCAAATCAGGAATACTTTAAAAAAGGATCCAACAGTCTCTTTCGAGGGTTAAAATGTTGAAGATGTTTGCTGAATTTTAACATTGGATAACTTTTTTTCCCCTGTTCTTTTTGCACATAAATAAGTTAGCCTCCCCCCGGGCAGTAGAGAAGGACAGAATCACAAGGCCAGAGAGCTGCACAGGGATACACTAGCTGTTAACATTAGACTGAATGCAGAATAATGCATTGACATCCAGAACAACATCCTTGTCCTCGATGCTAATTATCTTTCAACTCACAACATCCTCCAGTTCCCTCAGAAGCCACTATGATTAATGACACACCATTAAATCTGATGTGAAAAACAATAAATCATAGCAGCGGGGGTCACAGGAAAAAGTAAACACAACTCTTCCAAGAGGCTTAGGATTTAGAAGAAAAAAAAAGCCCAGAGAAGTCTGCCTCTTTCACTCGATGTTGCTCGAAAAAGGTGGAGAGTGGAGTGGTTTTCATCTCGGCTGAGTGAAACAGCAATCAGTCCTTCAAGCAACCTGGGCTTTTACCATAACCCAAAGGCTTATCTTTGACTCAGGAGGGAAAGTCGGAAAMTCTACCTATCACATTAAAATGGGAGGGTTTTTGGATGACTGTGAATAACAGCTGGCTCCACGGCCTCTGTGAATGGCACTAGATGAAATTGCAGTAAGTGTAGCTCCATTCACAAAGACAAGGGTGGGNGGTGGATGGAATCTCTTATATAACCAAAACATCCTTTAAACAAGGGCACATGCCTCATCTCCCCCTTGTGCAAACAGCTGCCCGGCGAACATGAACAGAAAGGAGCAGAGAGGTCCTGTGTGATATTCCCTGAGCAGTGCTCGCCCTCGGTTAGCACAGCAGCAGCTAGCGTAAGCTCAGAGCCACTGGAAGTCAGACTGTGGGAAGGGGGAAGGCTTGAATACTGCCTGAAATCTAATCTATCATCAGCCACTAGTGGATAGTGCGATGCTAATGTGTAGAGAAACAACATTTAGTGCACACGGACTGTTCCCCTCACGGTTCAAACAGACCGACATGAGGACTGAATAAAGACGTGTGCGTACTTTGGGGAAATATGCTTGAATTTTTCCATGTGTATAAGAATCTGAGGGGAATTTGCATGAACCTGTGTTTTTGGAACACAGCTTGACAAGTTTAAAATTAACTTCAGCCTTGTTGAAAATGAGTTTCATTTTTGCTGCATGTATTTTCGCTGCACATGTGGTGAAAACTCCTGTGGGCAAACTTACAAAAGCTTATTTTACTCTACGGTTAATGCATATGAGTTGCCTGCAAGTACTCGCTATTCCAGGATAAATTTCAAATACTCATTATAATGGTTTGTCTTTCCCCTCTTTTTTTAGCTTTCAAGGACTGGTGATGAAACAATCCCCCCCCCCCTTCATTTAAAACACAAACTTTTAGCACCAATATGTACTTTCAAGAGTATAAAAGCATCTAGTTTAATTTGCTAAGTGCAAATAATACCATATATTTTTAATATAAATTTCCCATTATGAGGTTTTACACATATAGTAAAATGAGAAGCTTCTTATTTTCTTGATTGTGCATCTAATTTGGTCTGAGTTCAATATGTGAAGTAGCTAAGTGGGAAATTCAGGTTGCACTGACAAAAAAAAATTATAAATATCAGATTAACATTTCTTTTTATTTTATTTTTTCCTATTTTCAATTCCCTGTGTTRTTTTTCATCATCCTTATTGTCAAACTAATCTAATCTTGTAAGGTTTGATTGAACTACCAGGAGGAGTAGAGAGTACTTCTTTTGAATTTTCTGGGTGGCTTTTATTCTAATTTTAATGTTGGAAAGACACAGTCACAGTGACTCTTCATCACTAAATTTCTGTGACATGACCAAAAGGATGATCCCCAATTTTAGCAGCCCTTTGTATTTCACACAAATTGCTTCAAGTCCCATGTCGATGTGTGCTCTCGCAATGCATCACAACATTGAACTATGCATGAATTATGGTTTGGATATCTCCAATCATGTGTTTGGGTTTTAAGCCGATTGCAATCTGGCCTCTGTCTTATGGCTGCTGTTGTGACATCCAGACATGTCTGCAGGATCAAAACACTTTAAAGGGGACATATGCTTTTAAATCCTTATTTAAATCATTCAGTTGTAGTCTATATACAATGGAACAGCAAWGCTTTGGTCTAAACTCCTGGTTATTGTAGCTCCATAGGCCCCTCTTTCACCCCTGTACTGAGGTGTGCCTGAGAGCAACTCATTTTGGAGCAGTCTCTTTAAATACAAATGAAGTACGTCACACACACTTCAAATTTAGATTCCGTTCAAGATTATTGCATTTAACCACTATTAGCATTACTGGTTAGCTTAATTTGGGATTAGCATCAACAATCTGTATGTGATTATTGAAAGAAATTTCATCTCAATAAGTCTAAAAATGGCAGAATTGTTGCCTTTTAATGTTACCTGTGTTGGACACTTTGAATTCTGATTAGTGTTTAGGATTTGGTGGAGAAAAAAATTGGCTAGCTCTACGCTATTCTTCAGTTTTGTATGTCTAAAAATGGCTGAATATTAAATTGTGACTTGCATTCACATGTTTTTAAGATCCTTCTTCGTACCGATCACACAARTTTCAGTTCAATATTTGTCAGTTGAAGCCATTTGGAACTATCAGTGGCAACCATCTTGAAGTTTCAAATATAGAGTTCTTTTCTTTATTTGTATRTACCCCTCCCCTAAAAAATAACACCTTGACCACCCCTGTGCCACTCCTTGTAAAAAAATCTAACTCCACCTCTGGATAAACCCCGCCTGTCGGACAGTGACTACTGGAGATTGGCACCAGTTTCTTTGTAGCATGGAAAGAAAAAGGCAGGTAAAAGAAAATAAATTGGTCATTTAATGATAATRCCCTTCAGACCACAAATTAAACTTTAAGTTTTGTTTGTTCTTTTCTGGCATTTGTGCATGATTTACAGACTTTTGTTGAGTGTCTTACATAATGACTAGAAATAAAGATCAATAAAGCATCTCTGTCTAATCCAGTGCAAAACATACCTTTTGAACTATCAAATTTTGTGCTGCTGTAAACAGATCATAATCAATAATGTTTGAATTTGCATATAAGCATTAGCAAAACATGGCCTGGTTACTCTGACAATGAGATAAACAGACATGCAGTAAAATCTTTAATCATTAACATTGATGCAAAACTGTCATTAGCAATTCACCGGTGCTTTAATCATTAACACTAACATAACAACACTTTACACTTACAATACTAGGAAGCCGTTGTATTTTTTTTTACTATTATTATTATTTATCACTTGAAGTACTTTGTGACATACCAGAGCATCATTCAGGTAAAAAGGCACACTTTCACATGTAACATTTTTCTGTATGTGGGAGTACAAGAGAAAAACAAAGASCTTTTGCATAAATAAAAGCTACTTGTGGGAGATTAACCTTTATAGAATAACATGGTGCAACACCACGTCTTGATGGAGTAAAAAATATCTGTCATTAGGAAGTCAAACAGATCTATAYAGAATATAAAATGATAACCCTGATTCATGTGTTTTATAACGAGTCTGTGTTGAATAATGCAGAGGAATGCTGCTCTGCATCAACACATTTTCCTTCCCTCGTGCTGCAATCGAATCCTGCACCATCTGCGTTATCATATTGTTATTAAAATACAGCTATAATTTATGACCCAAAATCTACAGTTATCAGTAATCAATGTAGATGCTTTGGTGTGAGAAGACTGCTGG